TTATTAAATTGCACTCCAATTGTAGCTTCTGGGTGAGGACTCATAGAATTGCTGTGCCCTGTGATTTGTATCAAAGACTCACTTTCCTGCCTGGTATTTATCTTCAGGATCAAGCCTTGTGGTTCAGAGAGAACATGAAGTGTTTCTTCTGTGTCAGATGCCAGCTTGTTGCATAGGTTAGTAGTGAACACTGCAGCCTGGAATCAGAAGGCCGTTCCCAGTTTCATTTTCTCTGTGACTCATGGCAAATTCTTTCCTTCAATGACTCACCTTCCCTAGCTGCCCAGGACATCTCAACACCTTTATCATCATCATCATCATCATCAATCATCATCATCATCACAATGTCTTACTTATCATGTAGTTAGTGGTTAAGAGCTTGGGCTCTGGAGACAGACTTTAGGAGTTCCTTTCTGGATTCTGGCCACTTCCAGCTGCCTAACCTTGGGCAAGTGACCTAATCTGTCTAAATGCCTCAGTTTTCTCATCTAGATGATGGGAATAATTAGGTTGGTGTGTGGACTAAACTTGATAGTGCATATAGAGTGCTTGGCATGTTGTCTGACACATCACTGGGCTTTTTGTCATCATCATTTTTATTAGTTTATTATTATTATTGCAATTATTACATAATGACACTCAGATGGATCCTAATAGGAAAAATACATGTAATTTTTATTCTCTAGAAGCATACACTTGAAAACAATCATGCATTGGTGTGGATATTTAATAAATCTTCACGTGCAGTGTTTAACAGAAGCTAGAGCATACCTACATCAAAGTGTATAAAGACAGAAACCTAAGAAACTTTAGTGTGGTCAGGTCTCAGTGTACTCTGGTTAATCAGGACAGGTAGACTATAGCTTCTGTTAGGTTGTTGACTGAGACTGATCAGTCTTCCTAGGAGCCATATTCAGAATTGTTTAGTGATTCCTGTCCCCTTAAACTGATCCTGTAGAATTGGGTTCATGCCTTTCAAGACAAAGGTTTTGGAGGTGCTTACTTGAAAGTATATAAATTAGAGAGAGCTTTGCTAATTGTAAGCCAGAAGCCACTGCCAGAGATCTTTTATTTCAGGACATTGCCCTTGCCTTTGAGCTTCAGTCTGACACTAGTAGGCAACTATAATTTCTACAGAAGGTTTTCCCAGAACAGACTGACCATTTCTAAAGGGTTAATTGCATACCCTTTACCTCTGCCAATATGGAGAGTATTTATGAACCACAGACCATTGGGGTGACTTGGTAGTTGTTTGCATTTGCCACTGCCTGAAAATGAAAGAGGACTGGAATATCTCTATAGAGGCAAGATAGAATAGTTCGCCACCTCTCAGCTCTTATGTCCTTGGACAAACTGTGCAACCTCTCTGGGCCTCAGGTCCCACATCTGTAGACTGGAAATAACACTGGTACCTAACCCATAAGGTGGTTTTTCAAGGATTAGATGATGTCACATGTGATACTTGGTAAATGCTCAGTAAATAGACATTCCCTGTTAGTGCTGTTAGTTTTCTTAGTGCAGAGGAAGCATGTGAAAGCTTTCCTTACCCTCCTCACTTCCCTCGCTTTTAGAGGATACCAGCCTCTTACGGTGCCACCATCTGGCCTTTGTGACAGCGAGGCTGTTCCCAGACCCTGGGTCTTCCTGGTTGAGCCATGTAGTAACACACTAGTGGCGGGCATGGTTTATTTGCTTCATTTCAGAACTCATTCTCTTGGGCTCATTTACCCAAACCAGACAGAGATTGATGGCTGTGCCTCAGAATCAGGCAGCACATGTTTCTGGTGCCTCTGGCTCACTGATCACACCTCTCCCATTTGGGAAATGCTTGGGTGTTCAGGCGATCTTCTGAAACCCAGGGAACCTGGAAGGAAAATAGTTTGGTACAAATTGATCTCCTAATTAAGGAGGGCTGAAAGCCTTGCATTTTGCTATTTCTTCTGGGTTTTGCCATTTATAAATAGGAGCAAGTGTCTCTGGGATAGAATATTTGAATTTAATGGGAGGGATAGCTTAAAAAAAAACACTTGCCAAAATACAGTCTCTTTCCCTGCACTTCCCTTACCCAACTTTCCAGGGTTAGTGAATGCTATTCACCTTGAATCACTGGTTCCAGCTATTATAAGGCTACCCATTTCTTTAACAGGTCACAAGGCCCTGTAGGTTCACATCACTGCCCCTCTGCTCCATTCTCAGCTCCTACCTTGCACTGATTGCTGACCCTACTGGCCTTCCTCCCTCCAAAAGGCCATGCCTGTCCCATATCAAAGACCCGCACTTGCTGTTGGCTCTGGCCCTGGGTTTTCCCAAGGAGGTCTGCTCTCATCATTCAGATCTTATGCAAATCTCACCTTTTCAGAGAATATTTTCTCCATCTCAGGTACACAGTAGATTTTTTTTTTTAATCCTCACCTGAGGATATTTTCTCAAATATCTTCAGATAGAGTGGGTGGGGTGGGAGTGTGGGGGAGAAACATTGATGTGAGAGGGACACATTGACTGGTTGCCTCCTAAACAATCCCGACCAGGGCTGGGGAGGAACCACAACCGAGGTATGTGCCCTTGACGGGAATTGAACCCTCAACTCCTTGGTCCGTAGGCCAACGCTCTAACCACTGAGCAAAACCGGCCAGGGCCACAGTAGACCTTTATTTTCTCCACAGTACTTATCAATACTTGAATATCATATTTATGTATCTGTTTATTTCTGTTTTCTTTCCTAGTAGGCAAGTTCCAGGAAGCAGAGATCATAGCTATTGTGTTCACCTGTATCCCTAGTGTCTAGAATGCTGCCTGGCTATTATAAGCACACGATAAATACTTGTTAAATGCATGAATGAATAAACAAATTAATGAATTGCAAGTAACTTTAAAAATTACCTATTCAAGAGGTCTTTAAAATTTTCAAAGCCAGTATCACCTTATTTGATAGTCACATGAATAAAGCCAATACAAGCAAAGGGAAAGGGGGACATTTGGATACTTGGAGTCTTAGCTTCTCTCCCTGCCCCTCTGGCAGTCCTAGTGCAGGTCCTATGGGGTTCAATTTGAAAAACATGAGCTAGTCCAAATTCTTCACTTGTATTGATGGTTCAGGTGCTGCCGAGGGAGAACGGGCAACCATGTTGCCCCTGGTATAGAAAGAGTATCTTTTCCAAAAAAGAGAAGTTTTTGAAATACAGGTCTACTAATCAGAAGAATGGAATATTTTTAGAGGGAGGATAACACTTAGCTTAATTAAGGTTCAAAGTTAGTATTTTCTAGCATCAGCTCAATTGCAAATGTTCATCTGTAGTTACCAGGGCTAGCTCATAGGCTGCACAAAGGCAGGTGGTGAGCTGGATTTGGCCCATGGGCCATAGGTTGCCAATCCCTGATAGGCTGGCATTATTAAATAAGATAAAGCTTCTGCTTTAGAAAAATAGCATAGAGCCTAAATCTGGTGACTGTGATTCTGTAGGTATGAAAAAACATAACGTTAAGCTGGTCATCATATCTTTTAAAAAAAGATATTCCAGCTCAGCCAGTTTGGTGCAATTGGTTGAGCTTCTCATCCATGCACCAGGAGGTTGCCGGTTCAGGACCATGCCCAAGTTACAGGCTCAGTCCCCAGTAGGGGACGGGTAGGAGGTAGCTGATTGATATAGCTCTCTCATATCTATGTTTCTCTCTCCCTTCCCTCTCTTTATTTTTTTTTTAATTAATTAATTTATTTTTTATCCTCACCAGAGGACTTTTTTTTTCATTTTTTTTTTTTTTGTTCAGATAGAATGGGAAGGAGAGAGAGGAAGAGAGAGAGAGAAACATCGATGTGAAAGGGACACACCGAGTGGCTGCCACCCGCACGACCCAACCAGGGCCGGGGACAAACTGCAACCGAGGTACATGCCCTTAGCGGGAACCGAACCCGGGTCTCTCAGGACCGCAGGCCGACGCTCTAACCGCTGAGCCAAACCGGCCAGGGCTCCCTTCCCTCTCTTTAAAAAAAAAAAAAATCAATAAAAAAAACATATTAAAAAAAAAAGATATTCCAAGCAATTCTGATGGCCACTCTTAGTTGAGAACCACTTATTTAACTCTTAGAGGAACTGAGCCATGAAACCCAAAAGGCATTATAGCCTGCTAGGAATATTATATTTTGAAAAACATTATTGTATTTTGAATTTTATCAATAAAGAAATTTGTGGAAATTTTGTTTTCTCTCTCGTTACACAAGTACCTATATAATATCATTGATTTTTGCCTCCTGGCTTGCAAAGCCTGAAATATTTAATTTACTGGCTGGCCCTTTAGACAGAAAAAGCTTGTGGACTCTTGCAATATGTCATTGTCTGTTTCACGTGGGGCACTTTTTATGATTGCTGTAAGTGATTTAAGGGATTTCTATTGTAAAAGTAATATATTCTCCTTATAAAATTCAAATTTACAAAACTCTATAAGGGAAAAAGGATTGGTCCCATTCCCCAGTGTTAATACCTAACAGTTTGTGTAATGTATCTTTGTCCTGAATTTGTTACTTACTAGCTGTGAGACTAGTTAATGTCTCTAAATCTCAATTCTCCATTTGTAAAACAGTGGTAATAACAGTTCCTACCCAACAAGATTGTTTTGTGGATAATTTGAGATAATTCATGTGAATTGCTTAGCACATTGCCTGGTGTACAGTTAATGTTTAATGATTAATAACTAATTTAAAATGTTTTCTCCTTTTTAGCTGTATATACACACATAGTTTGTTTTTTAAAGGACTGTGTTTTGTTTTGTTTTTTATATACAATAAAATTCCGCAGATGATTCTAATGTACACACATTTAAGAACAGTTGCAGTAAATACTGGGAACTAGATAATTATAGAAGGGATTCATATTTGGGGGCTACCTAGAAATTGCCTTCTATCTTATAGTCCAAACTAGGGAAAGGGGGAAGGTATTGGCTTTCTTCAGTGAACCTGTAGGGTGGTATAAAATGCATAAAAATAAATATTTATTTCTATTTTCCAGGTCTACAACTCGAACAAAGACAGCCAGAGCGAAGGAAGTAAGTACGGCATTTCGATAATTTTCTGTAATTGGGGTTGGGATTGGGTGTTGAGAAGTTGCTACTCCAGAGAAGAGCCACCAGGAGGTGCTGTCGGTATGTTGGGTCTGCCCCATTTCCCCCTGTGCAGCCTGAGAGGCTTCCACCCTGACTTATTGACTCCAGGACATTCAGTGAGCCTGGCTAGCAAGGTTGTAATGACACTTTGCATTAACCCTTCACATGTTACCAAACATTTTCATGTTCATTATCTCAGTGAATCCTGGGTCATTTTAAGAATGTTGCTCCAACCATCACTTAAAAATCACTTAATCCAATAATGCTTAGCCCCTAAGAGCCCTGTCCTATGAGAAAACCAGAATTGATTTTGCCTCCTACTCGGTCTTGCTCAAAGCACTGGAGAGGCAATAACTATCTTAGTGATAACTTTGTGTTCTTTGCTGTCTCTTTAGAGAGGAAGGAGTGGAGGTAGTGAGGTCTGTAATAATATTCCTCTGTGATGGGAGTGACCCTGGGAGGACTCTGCAGAATATACAGGACATTCCCCCTGCTGCTGGCTCTGAGCACTCTGGTTAATCATGATTTCCAAGGGCACCTGCAGCCTTGTAAAGATGAAGGGATTAAAATAAAAAGTGCTTCTGCTAGAGTGTTTGGGCTGATTATCTCCTTGGTGCGCAGGAGAAAACAAATTCCTTCCAGGTTGCTACAAGAGCACAAAGGAAATCCTGTCCCCTTGCCTCTGATTTGTTTTGTAAAACCTACTTGGAAAAAATTTCAAAGGTAGCCTGCCCTACCATGAATTCTAATCATGTCAGAAAAGTCAATAAAAACAGTGCCTGTACACGTGGACAGCTATTTTTGTGTGTGTGAAATCCATTATAGGACAGAGATTGATTTCTTTCTTTCTTTCTTTCTTTCTTTCTTTCTTTCTTTCTTTCTTTCTTTCTTTCTTTCTTTCTTTCTTTCTTTCCTTCTTCCTTCCTTCCTTCCTTCCTTCCTTCCTTCCTTCCTTCCTTCCTTCCTTCCTTCCTTCCTTCCTTCCTTCCTCCCTCCCCCCCCCCCTCCCTCCCTAAAAAAACAAATTTTACCGGGAGGTATTTGTTTGTTTGTTTTTTAATCCTTCCCTAAGGAAGTGTCTTTGATTGTAGAGAGAGGAAGGAAGAGGGAGAGAGAGAAACATCGATGCAAGAGAGAAACATTGATTGGTTGCCCCTTGTATGTGCCCTGACTGGGAATTGAACCTAAAACCTTTTGGTGTATTGGACGATGCTCCAACCACTGAAATACCCGGCCAGGACAAGATGCAACTCTGTTATATGACCTATATATTTATGGCTCAAGACAAGGCATTCACATCAGATGCCTATTGTGTTGACTTTGTCATTTTTTTTTCATTTTTTATTTGACAGTCTAAGGGAAAAGAGGTCAGAGCCCCTGACTAAATAGTCAGGTATTGCATGTTTTAAAAATTCTTGTGGCTCATTGGTTGAAGATCATTGGTCTATCTAGCTATATTGATTGGGAAAGGTCTGGAAATACATTTTTTCATCCAAGACTTCATCAGGATGGAAAGTGGATTATTGGAGGGACTGACCTTTACTTTAAATATCTCTCTATACGGTACATTGCCTTCAGTGAGCATATATTTTACAATACTACATATTCACATATAGCATTTATTGACCACTTACTCTGTTTCTGGGTATTTTATGCATATTAGATCATTTAATGCTTGCAACACTCTCTGAGGTAAGTGCTTTTGACCTACTTTGTAGATTAGGAAATTGAGGCTAGTAAACTCAGAGGACACAATGTAATCTGAGTTCTAAGTCTAAAGGCCCTACTGTTAACCACACAGATATTCTATTTCGCTAGGAAAAGAGCAATACAAAAAGTTCCATCTTGGAAAGCATAGACACTTGCCACTTTTGCTTCTGGTATCCAGTTATTCACAGAGCTCAGAGAGTTGGCTACTTTGAGTCTATAATAATTCTTTGGTTGCTTGCCCTTTCATTTAGCAAGCAGGAGAGAAAAAAGATGGGTTAAAATATATGGGCCACTTTCCAAGGAGTTTAGATAGAAGTGATTTTTCTACAGTATTGAGATATTCTGATCACTGATTTCCAAGGTGGCAACCCCAGAGTGGTGTTCTGGGTTGGTGCTTCCTCTCCGCCTCTGGCATTGGGACTCCTTTTTCACGTCATACCATGCCTCAGCTGGCCCTCCCCACCAAAATTGTTGTATTTTTAATATCTCTTGAGGGTGGTAATTTTCATTTTCACCCCACACTCACCCATAGGGCTCCTCTGCCACAGGTAGCACTCTTGCTCAGGGTCTGAATTCTGCAGCCCCTTTTCTGTCTTTAACACAATCAAAATTATTTTAAAGTCAATACGTCAATCTGATATGACTTTAAGAGTGAGGCATTGTTCTTTTTGCTTTTAATATCCAAATTGCAAATATCTAGCATTTTCTTTTTGGAAAATGCTTTGGTGGGAATTTGAATGCCAGCATTTTATCACAGAGCCAGAATGGGCAGGTAGCAAAAGGAAATTTCTCTGGGGCACTTCTGAATTTGTTTCTTTCATCTTGAAATTTCTCTCAGGGTATACATTGCCTGTGGGGTACAAGACAGGGCCATAAATAATGTCTTTCAACTGCTGGTATTTTTCCAAATGGCCCAGTTGCCAGGGGATGGCAGCAGATAAATATACATGCATTTCTTTTCAGAGCCTTTATCCTCTCTTCTTTATTTTCTATTTGGATTGCAGATATAGAGGGTCTGAATTAATCATACTCCCCCTACTGGTGGCACATTATTATCACAGGGCCCTCCATTCATTTTCCTTTTCTCAATTCCTATCCCTTTTCTCTCCTACAGGCCACCATTCTAATGAGTACTTTTCAACTATATTCTCAGACAGTGTGTATCTTTTTATCTACCTGTGTTTTTAAGTTACATAAATGGTTAGCTGTCTTGCTCAGTTTCTTACTTTGCTCCCTCAGCATGGTGATAAGTGCCATCCATATTCTTCTGTCAGCTTCTGGAGCATGACTTCCACCTGCTGCACACTCCACGGTGTAGAACACTGTGTATCTGGTTCTGCAGAGATACCCTCCACCTCCTCATGCCCCCAACTCTTCATCACTACTAATGGCATTGCAAGGAGCATCTCTGTACATGTCCTCCTGCGTGACCATTTCTTTGGGTTATATGCAAGAGGAGAATTGCTGATCAGTTAAAGGGGGTGTGTATACAGAGTTTGAGGGAAGGCTCTCATGTCCTTCTCCAGAGTGGCTGGTCCATAATCCCACCATCCCTCCATGAGGATTTCTCCATTCCTGCCAGCTCTAGCCATGCAGCTTTCTAATTTTTTCTTAGTCTTATAAAATGATAGTTTATTGTTGTCTTAGTTTGCATTTCTCTGATAATTAATGACTTTGAGCATCTCTTTATATGCCTGTTTACTGGGTTTCCTCTGGGTTTTTGTTTTTGTTTTTGTTTTTTTTTTTTTGCTAATTCATGTCCTTTGCCCATTTTTATATGGCAGTAGCCCATTTTTTCTTGTTGATTTGTAAAGTCCCTTCTGTATTCTAGATATTACTCTCTGGTTAGTTGTATGTATTTTAAATATTTCTTTTCATCTTGTCATCTGTCTATTAATGTTATGTTTGATATCCTCCCTTGAGTATAAATCCTTACTTTTAAAATATTCAAATTCATCTTTTTTTTTGCATTCTGGTTTATTATTTTCAGGTTGTGTTTTAAAGGCCTTTCTGACCCATGCCACAGAGATGTGCACTTACTTTTCCTTTTATTGGCTTCATAACTTTGTCCTTCACATGCAGGCTTCTAATCTGATATCTACCATTATATATGGTGTTTCATGAAGATCCAGTTTCATTCGTATCCATTTGAAGAGTCAGTTTTCCCACCACCATCTACTAAACTGTCCACTCTCCTCCTTTGACCTCTGGTGCTAGCTTTATTGTACATTAGGTTTGTGTATCTGAGCTGTCTCTCAGCTCTTTATCTCCTTGGTTTGTTTGTTCTTAGCACTTATACCTCTCTGGTTTTAATATGATAACTTTGAGGCAGGTCTTAATATCTGATGGTTTAAGTCTCCTGTCTTTACTTTCGTTTTTAAGGGTTGACTGAGCTGCTTGTGAACCTTTATCCTTCTGAATAAATTATGGCATATGTGTGATAAGTTTCTCGGAAACTTAAATTTTTCATTTGGGATTGCATTGAATGGTATTGATTATTTTGGGGGACATCGACACTTTCATAATATTAACTTATCTTCTCTAAGAGCTTTGAATGTCTTTCCATTTATTCGGATGACCTATGTCATTTACTAGAGTATTAGTTCTCTGCCTAGAGGTCTTGTGTATTCTTGGTTTGTTTAATTCCTAAATACTATATTCAAAATCACTCTACTATTTTTTGCCAATTGAATGGACCTCTGACCTTGTGGATACTGCTGCCATCAGAGATTCTTCCCTGGGAGTATCAAGAATATACATCAGTGACACTGAGTTTTCTCTCATTGGCCAAATTTTTACCTGGTAGAGAAGAGAAGGGAAAAGACAGCAGTAAGGGTAGTAGAGAGGAAGGAAATATGTTTTGCTACCCCCTAGACTTTTTTACTGAGGGAGTGATCTCACCAATGTCAGTGATCTAGACAGCTGATACTTGTCACTGATTTGCCCCCTTTCTAATTACAAAGAATAGGATTCTGCATTGGTCAAGAATGCCTCCTTCCACTCCACCCTCTGTGTTCCCCTTTGCCACCTTCATGCATATCTCCTGAGTCTACATTTCCTGTTGCTTGCCCTGCCTTTGGCTACATTTAGGAGGTTTGCTCCCCAAAGGCTCTGTGAGAATTGGTTTATTTCTCCTTTGAAATGAGCGTAGGTCAGAAGCAGGAAGAGCAGCCAGGAAATGGCCTGTTCTCAGCCCAGGCTGTTGTCCTGTCATCCTACCTGAGGAACAGTTA